ACCAAATTTTAATTAGCAACTAAATTTAAATACAATTTACAAATTTTTTAGATTGTTGATTGACTGTTGATGAATCGACGTTTCGCCGTGTTGGCTTTTACATAGCTTGACTGAAATTAACTTGCATCAACTAGGCTTTCCTAGAAAGAGAAGAAAATGGAAAATCGTCCATATTTTCTATACAACTTTAGGTCTGTATAATGCAGTTGAGATTTTTAACACCAAATGTCTAATTGGATATAATTTTTTTGAAAAAAAAACAAGAGCTTGCATTTTCAATGTTTAACCGTTGCAGCAGTGTTATCGTATTGTATCGTATGTATTGATACAGTTCGCAAAGACCATGCAGATTTTTCAAAATTTTGATTAGGAAACGTTAGATAGATATAGATATTTCCTTGATGTTTCTAAAACTAGGTTTAAGACTATTTTGTTGTAATCGTTTCTAATACTGTTCTGAGCTTCAATTTGTTAAGCAACTCTATTCTGGTTGATGATATTTTCACCTAAATTCTTAATTTCTTTACACCTGTCATGTTAGTTCGGCGATATTACCAGATAAAACAGAGTTGCTGTTAGCAAATGTAAACGTTTTTATATGTGATTTTTATCAACTCAACAAATAACTGTTAATTTTGGAACCGAATGTCCAATACAAATTCTGTATTTGTAAGATAAGAATCGAAATAAATAATATCGGTATCTGTATTTTGAATATATGAATATTGTTATTTGGAACGTTTTTAAGGTCCAGTAAGTAATATCATAAAATGGAACCTTCTTATAATAATGCAGCAAATAATGGAAATAGTCATTATAGATCAAGTTTGGCCAATACAGCCCTGTGATTTAGGTGAACCAAAATGAACAACGGTTTAAAACGTGCCTTCCCCGCCGAAGTCAGTTTTGCGTAGGGTGAATTTTAAACGCGTATTTGATCGCTGATATCTGTGACGTGTAATTTGACGATTATGAATATTATTAGAGCGATGGGAGGTTTTAAAATAGTTTAGAGGGATTGAGCCCGCGCGGAGATTTAGTTGCCTTTTGTTGAGGGAAATTTATGTCGTGTTAATATTTCGAAATTGATGAAATGAACCCATGACAGATTGCAATATTCAAACGTACGCTTGGGAAAACATGCATTCCCAAATCGAAATTAGGCAAAAGCATTTCGTTTGAAAAATAAAAATGAATAAGAGCGATGGTTCTACGAGTTTTAATGATTGTATTGAATTAAGCGTTTTGTTTCTTTTTGTCTTAGGAAGAAGATCAAATACAAAAAATGCACAACTTGAGAAGAGCGACAAATAGCAAATTTTGTATTAAAAATTATCTTCTTTCTTGGATGATTTCGTGTACACTCTTAGTTGGATAAATTAGAAAAATAGAAAAGCTTTTTGTAAAGTCTTGGTCAGTTTGGTTTGGTTAGCTTTTCAATTCAATTTTCAAAAAACTGACTTTTTACCAAAACTTTATTTTTCAAATCTAAATTTCTATTTTCATTTTAAAATTTGCTATCTAACGGAATACAAATATTCATCTATAAAAAGGATGACCAAGTCAAATTTATCTTATCTGTCCACATTTCCTTAAACTATTCTTGGAAGTCAAGCCAAGATATCAAAATCGGTATTGAAATTCTCAAAGTGTTTACCAAATTTCCATATAATAATTTACTTTTTTCTATTGCTAATTTTGACATCACGGCATGAACAATACAATTTTTCAATTAAACAGTTGTTTTAGTATTCGCAGTCTTTATAATAAGGGTTTAGTTAACTTTCTGCAGGAGTGATCCGATTGAACAAATCGTTTCTATTAACCGATTAAGTAGTTATTTACGGTGCTCTAACTTTGCTCAAAAATTCATTATGGAGAATCAGGTTTGCAGCTCGCAACAAAATTTTACAGCTTTAATAGAAAATAACTAATATTTTCACTGACAATTCCAAATCATGAAATAAAATGTCAAAGTATTCTTTGCACTTGTCATTGTCAGATCAACCTCGTAATCAATATAATGTCTAGCCCAAAAAGTAACACATTTGGCACTGTAAAAAGCGTGAAAAATATTACTTAACTAAGATAATGGAAAAATATTTTTTTATTAATTGAGTTTTTCCATATTTCTTTCCGAATATAAGATTTTATTAGGAACACCACAACGCGCAATACCAGTAGCTACAAACGAAGTGTTTATCGGAACCTAATACCTAATGTCCTACGAATGTCTTTTCTCACTCGACAAGTTTACAATTGTCAACAAAATGATTCTGGCCGTTGTCCGGTTCAATAAAACTTTATTGCACCACATCATCGCGTTTCATATTTTGCTCGCAGACTCCGTACCGTAAAATCGGACGATGGATTGTTCAATATTCTGGGAAGGTTGAAACGTGTCCCATTTTTTTATTCTTCTGTCCAGGTCGTTTCGGTACCTGCGGAGTTGAATGTAAAAAGTAAGTAGTGTAACAGATCCGCTCCAAATAAAAATTATTAATGATGTCAATTTTAAGTTTCCTTCGCTCCCGCACCGTTAACAAGATGTTACTCTTGCTGCGATAGTTTATGATTGCATAATGTTTTTTAATGGTTAGGTAGTTCTCAAAAATAGATAACTTTTGAATTAAAGAAATAATTGTGTAAATATTTCAAATTTAGAAACACAAAAGTCGCTATAGCGAGTGTTTATTAATTTAGATAATATAAAAGCTTGGGGGGTTTTTGGTCAGCAACATATGGAGACTGAGTATACACACGAATATGCTCCAAGGTATTTTTTCTCGATAACCAAGCGAAACACTAAAAAGTCAAATAAGCGGGTTGTATTTATAGTTCAATGATATTAATTACATTGTAATTATAGAGTAATATTTTTTCCGTTCAATGAAATCACCTAAATAGTTTTTAAACTATTAATATAATTGAAACAATTTTTTTATGAATAATTTAACTAATATGATATAATTTTGCTTAGTTTAGCCATTTGTAATAAACTTTAATTAACTTCAACTTTGAAAATACGATGATAGTATCAAATAGTTTCTATATTTTCTAAAATAAAATTGCATTTTTTATTTCTAATATCCTACCTGGGCCAGAATAATTTATGGAGCCATAAAATTATAGAAGTGTGCCAAATCTCAATAAATCCCAGTTTGCCAATTTGTTGGATTGTTGAATTAAAGGAGCTTGAAGCAGTATATGTATACCGATTTATGTATTGACAATTCATACTTCTTATTTGGATATTTTTGGGATAAATGTGTTAATGTCTTAATTACTGAAAAGATAAATTGTGGCGCATTATTGGTTCATAAGCCGGAATCACTCCGAGCCGCAGTGGCGCACTGAAAACGATTTCTAAACGCTTTCGAAAATGAACACGAAGGTTTTGGTTCTATTGAATCGGATAAACCTATGTAGTTTGTTGGATTGTCGATATAAAATTTTTATCCAAATTTAAAGTACTTTGAACACACCGCTGATTCAGCATATACCGATTTATTTTCTGACGATTCGTTACCATACTTATGACTTTGATATTTTTGGTGTAAATTTGTTAAGGTCTTAATTTCTCAAATGCTAAATAATGGCGCATTATTGGTTCACAAGTAGTAATCACTTCGAGCTGCAGTGGCGCACCAAATACGAATTTTATACGCTTTCGTGAATGAATATTAAGAAGTTGGTTTTATTTAATCCACCTTTGCAGTTTTCTTTTCTTGTTCTTCTTTTTCTTCTGTACATACTCCGTATACTACTGATCGCATTGCATTCTTGAATTCTTGTCATCATTATTTGCACAATACATCGTAGATTGTACAATTTAACTTATACTATATTACACTTATAAAAGAATGCGAGAGGGGGGTGGGATGGAAGAAACAGAGGGAACTATGTCAAGAGAACATTTGCGTTCGAACGAATCCTTATCATTGCTATAAGCCAAATCACTACAAATTACTACAATGAAACTGTTAACATTAATGAATTAATGAATGAAAATCTAATTCTGTGCGTACGAGAATGTTCTGTGGTTGTCAAGTATTACATTTTATTGCATATATCTTATGGAAAACGAAATTAAAATAGTTAATAATTCCTAGGATGAAACCAGAATATCGAAATCACAAATTGAATATTTATAATTATAAGTTATGACAGTTCAGTGTTGGATCAATTATAAACATTAAATATTATGTAGACACATATAAGTTTTTAATTGACGTTTGCAAAACATATTATTGGAAACATTTATTCGTTCTATTCCAACTTATCATGTTTATTTATCATCATTTATCACCTTAAGTAACAATTATTTTCTGTTTCAGTATGACAGCGAATTCTTTCGTTTATTAGTTTTGTTTTACGTGATGCCAACAAATGCCTGTAAACAAATGCTATTAGTCTTATTAATGTAATATAAATTATTGGTATAATAATAATCAATAAGTCTAGCCGTGCGGCTTTTGAAAAAACATTTATTATCGATATTGGTTAATATCTCGGGCCTTTTCATCATTTGCAATGTTTTTTCAAATATAGATCGTTGAGGAAATCTAAGTTTCACTATGTCCCCTCTGGTATTAGATAAAGAACTTGTCGCGGCGCCTCTGTGCTCTAGTATATCGTAAACCCAAAAATATTCCGGCACTTTCACATTCTATACCCCAATAAATAAGATGAAAAAGAGAGCCCATGGTGAATGGACGGTCGTACAGTCAGTCGGGGGTGGGCATAAAATTCGCAGAGGGCAGCTGTCCTAGAATAAAAGAGCAAAAGCGACAAAACCTTAGGGGGTCGAAGTAACCACCCCTCCCCGTATGATCACGACGCAGGGATGGTTGACAATGTTTAACATTTACCCTATGTGCTTTGGCCAAATCAGTACGCGTATCACATTCGCACTTTTTTTTTGCCGTCACGTCGGTAGAAATTTGCTAACGGTAATACGAGAGAGGTTTTTGTGAACGAAATATAATCTGCCAAGTGTTATGAGTGCTTCGACGGAGTATTGTGACTTTTGGAACAACGTCACGGCAAATAATGGTGGCGCATACACATCCTATAATATGCAAAAATCGGGTGGTTTCTTAAACGAGGCGCAGAACCATTACCAGGGACATTTTGGCGACATGAGCAGACATAGTAAGTAAAATGGTTTAACTGTGCTTCCCAATTTAATAAGCAATATAAGATTTGCATCCATGACAAGTCCGAAGTTTAATTTTTTTATGCGGTCTACGGCAAATAGCTTAACTAAACGCCGCTCAAACTGTTGAGGTGATTTTATTACGCAATCATTACTTTAAGTTACTTTAAATAATTGAAAGGTAAATGTTTTTATGTTAGTTATGTGAGCTAGCAACAGTGTTTCATTGGAATGTGACTCAATACAGTTTTCCAAAAGTATACTCTTTGTTGGAACTGTATACGCTTAATAGTGACAGTTTCTTGCGGGATTGCGATATACAGCGTGTTTCAAAAATTCAGTACATAAATTTTAAATGCATTTTTATTAGTCAAAAATAAGTGTTTATTTATAAAAGCGTGTGTTCTTATTTGCCTCGTTCTCGAGACACAGAGGCGCTGAACTTCTAGAAAAAAAATTTTTTAGTTAATTATTTATTTGATTAATTCAAACTTGGCACGTCTAAAGTCATAAGGCTTTTTAGTTTGTGAAATAAAATTATTTATTCCGGTGGTGTGCCAGAGGGGGATCAAATTGACATTTGTCCATGGTACATGGTACGCTATCGATTTTTTAAAGAATTAGTAATTTTTTAGTTTAAGAAATTAAAAATTAAACTTTTTTGTGCTTTCGTTTTTTTATATCCCGCTTCGTCTTTAGGATAAAGATTATAAACCGTCGTAAGAGTGGGCGAGGTCATAGGGGACTTTATTTACTGTAATTTATCATTTTTAATTAAATAATCCTGAGTGACGATTACGCATAGTAAATTTTAACCAAGGTGACATGAAAAATCCGATTTTCATTTTTTTTTTAATGAACACGAAAAAAGGAAAAATACAAAAAAGTGTTATTTTTAATTGCTAAATCTTAAACAAATAAGAAATCTTTAAAACATCAATGGTGCTTCATGATTTTCGCTATAAATCTCACGTAGTGCCGTCTCTCGGACGCCACTGAAATGAATAATTTTATTTCAATAACACAAAATAAAGACCCTGATTATGAGAAATGGGCGTGGCAGGATTTGTCAAATTAATAAAAAACAGTTTTCTATAAAAACTTGACACGCTCTAAAACAACACAAGTTTGAACACATGATTATACGAAATAACAGACCTATGTAATAAATGTAATAAATATACCATTAAAATCTATCTATTGAATTTTGAAACACGCTGTATGTATAAATGTTTAATGCAAATATAATTAAAAATATTTTTCCCAGTTTTCATTGCTTACCAGAATCCGTCCAATTTACGAAAGACGCCAAATAAAGAAAAATAAAAAATAATAAAATAAATAGGTTCTAAACTATTGTTTCTTAGTCAAACACCACCAAAATGTAATACCAATGCAAAACCCTTAATAGCCTCGAATGCTGGTGGTGACAACTTGCCATTTCAATTCCACAATTCATTAAGTACTTTTACGTAACTGGTGTTGGTGGTGCATGAAAATTTTATTTTTTAGCACATGTCTTACTTTAACACGCTAAGAATACTTGCGTAAGAAACATTTCATTTAATCCAGCATTGTAATGTATAACGTGTATTTTCAGCCCACTATTCACCTTACCCTTTCATTCATCAGCCGCAACAATATCCAGCAATCAAAGAGGAACCAACGTACAGTACATGCCGCTTCAACAACGCAACAACAAATCAGCCCAATTCAAGTTTGGATAACTCCACGGACAATTCCATCGGATCGCCGATTAATCATCATTTTCCACCAAGTTTAAACACGTTTGACAGTTGCAGACAGACGTACGATCCGTTAAGCCAGAGAAGAGGATCTAATGAGGCCGCGTCGCCTAATAAAGCCACTGAAGAAGCTATAATTAAGCCCGCGGACGACTCGCCAGCCCTTAGAGCCTTATTATCAAAACCGAGCACCGAAAAGATTGCGTATAGTTACAATAATTTGCGAAAGGGCTCGGCTTCTTGCGACGCGACCTATTCGAAAAAAGAGTTCGATAATTGCGAGAGTAGCGATAAGAATTTTGAGGGCAATTTGATGGAAAATGGCTGCGGTGGCGGCAGCGGAGATATCGTTGACTTTCAGAAGAAAGTGTACCCTTGGATGAAGACGGGCCATGGTAAATATTAATTTTCTTGGCGAATTCTCCGTCGATTGGACGGGTTATTACGGTAATGGTTTTAAATAAGGAAGACAATTTGCTCGAAGAACGTGCTTTTAATAAAAAGACTGAAAATTGCGAGGGTTAATATAAATATTAAGTGTGTGGCCGATATTGTAACGGGTTCTAATTGCAAATGAGCTTGAAAAATTTTCGCGCATGTTGATCACTTAGTTTTCCTTTCTTTTTCTTCGTCCAGTGCCGTCCCCTAACCGAGGTTGCCACGTGAAACAGCTCTCCTACACTCATATGAGTTCAGTCTCTGATATTTCTTATCCAGGATTTCTTCTTTCTTCCTATGCGTTTCTTCCATCCACTCGTCCCTGCATGATAGACTGTAGTAGTTCGTACTTATTATTTCCTATAATATGGACAAGATAAGCTGTTTTTTTCCATTTAATCGTAATAATTAATTTCTTTTCTTGTCCTATTCTTATTAACACTTCCTTATTAGTAATTCTAGCAGTCTAGGGTATTTTTAAGGTTCTGCGATTCAGCCACATTTCAAAAGACGCTAGTTTCTTGGTGATCTGAGTCTTGAGAGTTCAAATTTCTACTCCATCCAGTAGTTGTGAGCACACGTAGCACTCAATAAACTTTAATCTTAGTTTAAGTCATAGATTGTTGTCGCTATTAGTAAACTCATTTATGATTTGTGGATAATGGTATTTCACTAGAAGATTAATTTTTAATATTCGATGCTTCTAATCGTATAAAAACTTTTGCAAACTATACTCTAATTAGAAAAAAGATACTTAATAAATAGTAAATCACATTACAAAAATTTTAATATAATTATAATTAAATTTGTATTGTCTTGTCTACAAGCAAATTGGTATTGTAGGGTTTTACAAGTTTCACTTATAATTAGTATGCAACGGGTTTGATAAACGACACTTTAGTTAGATTGATTAGGCAGGAGCGGAGCGAATGTTTAATAAATGAGGGGCCAAGGAAGTTTATCAGCTTTTGGAACTATACTTTTCCTACTACCATTATTTTGTAGGAACATTTTTGCAAAACAGCGCGAATAGCATTGAGTGACGTGTAACGCGAACATCAGAACTGTCAAGATACCATCAGCGGTTAAAATCTACTGCAAACATCCTTCCAAACCTGTGGTCAAAGCACTGAAAACGTCCGCTACATTGTTTAACGAAGCTGACGTTCTAAAGTGATACTTTTTGCACGCTACATAATTTCAGCAATCCAACATAAATGTTGGTGCTTTCGGAGGTTAGAAAATCACTTGGGAAAACTTGGAAATCTGAATTTTATTATTAAATTTTCTTTTTTGGTTTCAAATATTTTCAAAGAATCATCACTTGCTATTCTACCGGTAGTCGTTAGTCGTCTAGCGCGTAAGCGTTCACTAACATCTATAGCGGCCAGTGTTGAAACTTCATCTTGATTTTCATGTCTGCAGGATTTTTTTGGCGACTTGACAAAAAAAAACTTAATAACTACCATATCATCCAAAATGGAAGGGAGCAAATGCAAATTCTGAAGAAACAAAATTTCGAAACTTCACAAGGCACAAAGTAATTTTCAATGTCAATTTCTCGTTTCTGTTAGTACCATGCCAAAAATTATCACAATGCTCAGTTGTCAAACTAAACTAGCATCTTTCCAAAGTTTTTAAATAATCAAGATATCTAACAAAACCATAGAAATTAGGTAATGGAAGACCTGATTTAACGTAGAATAAAATTTTTTAAGAATGGAAAAATTGAATGATAAACCGAATTTGCCATTTAAAATGAGAAAGTTAAAGGTGACGTTGAGTACAAACGAAAGTGGTACCTAAAACGAAAAAGAATTTTAAATAATCCTAGAGTCCTAAAATTCAAATTTTTCTAACAACGGAGCCTTCCAATGAATGGCTTCCGTGAAGAATTTTGTACACATTTTGTTTGAATTTGAATAATTACTGCTGTTTGTCTCGAGGTGTCTGTGCCACCAGATTAATTCTGCAATTCTTAAGCTGATGTATTTAAGTGGCGTTTCGATTAAGTGATAATTTCACACATAATAAGTTGGTCGGTTAATTTTGAAGTTCAAATTATCTAACAGTAATATTTATATTTCTCGAACTATACCTTACGGATTAACGATACGGTAGAATAATCAAAAAACGTCCATTTTAAAACTATTTACCTAAATTCCTGAAAGCACAAATGCTTGAAATCGTTTCCATATGGCCGCTATCCCGTCGGACAATACACACGACAAATAGGGAAAAAACCCTCCCACAAAATGGCCTGCATTGAGTCCCATATCAGGCACGCCTAACTCAGAAACGTCAAACTGTCAACGTGTGAGTCCCATTTTAAATTTTTGTTTTCGGTCGGCATAGTTTTCGATTTTAGAAATTTGATCTGCTTTTAAGGAAATGTGCATAAATCAACCTCAGATAAACATCCATTTAGCCATTGTTTTTAAAAAGTCGAGAACTTGATAAAAATCGCGTTTTTTTTGTAGAATAAATTATATTGACGGTCTAAATAGAGTATCAAGTCAAAAGAAAATGTTATTCAATCTTTATTTAATTAATTTTTCCAATTTTTTAAAAGTCTTATGCAAAATCATGTAAACATTGCACGGAAATACAAAAATCAAAATTTACTTTCGAAGTAATGTTAAAAAAATTATAGTTCCGATGAAATTTTAAATTATAACAAAAAAAAACAAATATTAAAACTTTAAGAGCACGCTATAAAATAATAAAATAATAAAGGAAGCTTCTTGTGTTTCAAATCAAAATAGAAAAATCCTAACGTGGAATTATACAAATAGTACATAATAGTAGTATAAATTTTCTTTATTTTTCTTTATTTTAAAGCAATATTTTTGGCATAAAATTGTAGGATTGAGAATTTTTACTTATTTACTTCTACTTTTCTGATCATTTTTTCGCAAAGAGGTGAACTATGTAACTGTCCCAGCAAATGTTTTCGAAAATTTTTCATTTGAAATGCCAGTTGTAGTGTAATAGTACAATATGGAAATTTTAAGCTACTTAGAAATGAAATGGACACTAACGAAAATTACTTATGAAATAACTAATTTGAAGATCAATCCAAAATTGCTAGTTCATTTAAATTATTTATAATTAATTGAAATTTTTAGTGCATTTGCTTGTACCATCAGAGCCTACTCTGAAAAATTGAATATTTGCAATTACTGTATTTGCAAAAATCTCGACAAGATTATTTTTAGTGATATAAGCAATTTTGTGAGAACTTACTGAAAACAATTTGGTTAATCATTTAAGAAATTCTGAAGAAGAAATCATCAGATTTTTATGTGTTTGTCGCCTATATCGAACTTTTACAAGAAAAAAAGCAGTAGTCCTCAGCCAAGTCAGCTCTTACATTTCTGCTTAGAATAAATTAATTTAGCAGAGAACATTTTTTGACTAGTTTTTTTTGCATGTTTCCTCGTTCTCATAAACTTAGTTTATCCTAAAATGGGGTTTTCCGACAACACAAACGCACATCAATTAGCAATTCTGTCGGCTTGCAAGGTTACCCGTTAAGCAGTGTTTAATTGTTCCTATATCTAAATAGCCAACGATTGTGAAAAATACCTGCAATATTTAATCTGCGATTAAAATATTATCAGGTTAGTGCTGGAGATTTTTCGTAATAAAATTATATTATATATTAATTATTGAAAATATATAACCTTATTGAAAATATATAAATTATAAATCATAAATCACTTCCATGACATATGTTCTTTTATGTTTGAGTTTTATTAAAATTGCTATTTTATTTAGTTTCTAACAAAATTGTTAATGTGAGAACCAAAATTAAATGTTTAACGCATCTACTAGTTGGAATAAATGCTTTTTGTTAGTGCCGATTAAACTTAATAGATCACTTATACTGGGTAAAAACTCATATATATTTAATAAGTACCCCTCGCATTACTTTATATTTAACTTAAAATATATCTCAAAATAATTACTTTAGCGTTACCAAAAAAAATATTTTAGTTTTATTGTTATAAAATAGCGATTCCTCCAGTAGCGCAGAATTTGGGCTAATGGTAGTATCCAGAATTTTTTTAACATAATCTGGTAGGGTGTAAGTGTACAGTAACCACACTTACTGTCAACTATGACAAATTGATGTTATTTTTAAGGTACATGGAAAAATAATTTTTCACTTTTTAAACAAAACAGCCTGTAAATATTTTTGTCAAAACGATTTTGATTAAATTCATATTTTTTGAGCTCTCAAAATATTTTCAATTTTTAATGAATCACTGTTATTCAATCTACCTCAACAAGTCTCTCTTCTTGATAACAATTTCCTTCCAAGTGATAGAGTGGTATGTAGAATAATATGCTTACTTTCAAAACTAAATATTTTAGCTCCAAGTAAGGCAACTCGTATATGGATATTGGTATACAGTAGCTTACTTAATGTTCTAATTTGCATTACAAAAAAAGATCAACACAGGTTGGCCGATACAGAACACAAAACAAAAAATTGATTTTAATTCGAATTTCAATAGCGCCTTATCTATTTCGTACCAGGCAATATCAAATTCATTAACATATAAATGTTAATTGGATGCCATTTTATCAAAAAAGTTTTGTTACGACAGAATCGAGCGGACAAGGCAGCAAACGCACCCGACAAACTTACACCCGTTATCAAACGCTGGAACTTGAAAAGGAATTCCACTCTAGCAAGTATCTGACGAGACGGCGACGCATTGAGATTGCACATTCGCTTTGCCTCACCGAGAGGCAGATTAAGATATGGTTCCAGAACAGGTAATATATGTTTCAAACGCTTTGATTAATTAATTAAAAGTTCCGAGTTAAAAATTGGCGTAACTCGCCAACAAAGGGGCAGGACCTTCGAGTATATTACATTTAGTTAGTTTATTTAATAAATTAAATAATTTTCTGCTTTTTTGATTATTAGTGCCACGTTTATACTAATGTAGAAATCTGTAAATGGGTGTAGTTTATCATTGAAATTTAATGAAAGTCAAATATAAGTTCAATGCTAAAATGTTGCATTAAAAGATGTATTGACACATCTCTGAAGAAAAAATCAGAAAGGCACAGAGGATTAAATACTCCTCTGAAGAAACAAAAATTATAATTTTTTAAATTAGAAAATAATAAATCTGAAGCTCAAAATTAGTTTCTATTTATAAAAAGGAACATCAGTGACTATTTCAAGGCAAGATAGTGTTTAATGTTTAGTCACAAACCTTTTTCAATTTCATTAACTAATTTATGTTCAAAAAATCATAAAAAAGACTACCGAACAAGAAGGACAATTTCAGACTTGACATACCAAGGCACCATGGCACCTTTAAAGTGTCCCTCTGCTGATTTCTCTAGATTTTTGCTAGGGAAGTAAATTTTAAATTCGCAAAAATGCATATCAAAAAATGTATATTTATTTATTTACAACCCGACATGATAATCTAAATAAGAGAGTGATAAGTAATTAGGTAAATAAAAATATTACAATTACAGGAGAAAATTGGAGACAAGAAAATTACTAATAAAAATAATTGCCTTCAATGAAATTTTCATATTTTATTCAGCTCCGGGAAGTTTGCTATAAGTGTACCGAAAAATAACATGTTTCCGATCTGTATTATATATCCACGTATAATATTTATGTATGTTATGTTAATTTTAAACATACATGTATGGGATATCCTTGATATTCAAATAAACAACGTACTTTCCAGCTATAATTTGACTATGACAAAGTTAAGGTTCTAATTTCATATTATAACAAGAGAGCGGGACTTGAAACGCTGTGCATGAAAAAGGATCCTAATTCCCTAAATAATCGTAATGATATTCAAAACTTACTCCAAATTTACCAAACTAACTTAATAAACCAAATGCTCTGCTAAAGATTTTATATCTTTTCTAATCATCTTTTAGTTGAAACATTATTTTTTTACTCCCGTCTGTAAAATATCTAATTACCCACCGATCTAGCGTGCGGAAAGCGTCACTTTACCAAGTCAGTTTCCTTTCCCACGAATCCGAGCCACTTCGGACATTTCCGAGATTTTACCGTACGAATTTGGCAGCAATCGGATGTTTTCGGAGATATTTCCCACGCTTTGAATTTTGAAGTTTGTCAATTCTGACGCTCATGTCAGTGAATGTATTCATTGTTTTGCGAAAATGTAACCAAAAACTAACGGTCGTAGAAAAAATATAGTATGCAACACGTTCGGTAAACTTTTTAACTCACTCGTTTATTAAAAATTCACTCCGCTCGTGTCAAATAAACTCGTGTGTCAAATGACCTTTACCGCACTTGTTGCATAATATACTATTTAACCGTATATACAACAATAAAAAGCTTTGTTTTTTATTATTGCCTAAAATGAATAGAGGTCTAAGTCAACACTCCGCTTTGTTTTTAGGTCCAAAATATTATAACCTTTTACCAAATGCCAACAAATGAAATAAAGGTGTAATATTATATTATGTAACAATAGTGGAGAGTAGCAGAACGTGTGTTTAATAAACGAGTGACCTAAAAAATTACCAAACGTGTTGCATACTATACTTTTTGTACGACCGTTAATTTTTGAGTCCATTTTTGCAAAACAACATGGATACATCTTTCTCTATATTATATAACAAATAATAAAATAAGATTTTCTTAATCACGCCATTAGACAGTCTACTATTTTTCCAAATTCATTTCACTTACAAATTCTTACAAGGACCTTCTTCATTTTTAATAACAGTTTATAACTGGTATTTGAGTCCTATTTTGACAAAAAAAACCCTTTATTTACACTAGCTCGGGGGATAGTATTTTTTGTCTAATCCCTGGGGTTACTAAGGCTTAAGGAATGTATTATTTATTTCTTTAGCACACACAGATACACCTTGTATCTACGTGCCTCTGATATACCCTAATATTTGTTCTGATGAATTCATTATTTAATGAATTTGATCTGATTTAACCTAGAAAACCAGGGAAATCTTACATTTTTATGAACTGTTAGGCCCAAGTAATAACAATAAAGTTAAGTTTAAATCTAGATATACTTCTTGACAGTGGCGTACCAGGGCGGTCCTTTCAAAAATAATATTTTACTAGCTCTTCTTTTGGTAGAATGTATTGAAATTTTAGATTGCTAAGCAGAGTGCCAAATTACATTAATATTTCTCACCTTAGTAGAGTTTAGAATAGAATAGAATTTATTGTGGTTATTAATTAAGTCATTAATGTCTAACTTTATCACGCATTAATTTAGTCCCTAATTTTCAAATTTTGGTTAGTTGCAGATTTCGCATAAAGTTAAAGATTAAGTTCCCTATGGAACAAATCTATCAAATAATGTTGGTTAGTTTTGGTTTTGATTCGAACAGCCTCGAATAGTCCTTTGCATGCTATGTATGCGTATTTCTGCAGAATTTTATATAAGCCAATTTTACTCATACTGCAATACTGTTCCTACGGCCCTGTTAATAATTTTTGATTATTTACCCGAAAATATCAATTAATTTTTATTTAATTCTCGGCATAAATATGCACTCCAGAATAAGGGCATCATATGTTTATGATTTTAATCTTCTTTTCAGGAGGATGAAGGCTAAGAAAGACACGAAATTCGGCCTAAACTACGACTTTGCCCCGTCCGAAGACATAAACATGAACCAAAATCAGGCATTTTCCAGCTCGCAGAGCTTTAAAAACTACTACCTAAATGCAGCGAACGATGCAGTCCAGGAGACATCGATAGTCGATGCGACGAGGAACCTCGGCAATCTATACGACAGGGATTTACCCCGACCTTTGACGCAAATTAAAAATATCCCGGGACCTACGTTGTCACCCTAAATAGATTTAAGGGGGAGCGCGGGAAGATTTGGAGCAATAATCAAAAGCCAGGGAAGTGTATATAACGTGTAATTAGTTTAATTATAGTGGTTTATTTTTTGAGGGGGCGATAATGATTGATTTCGCCATTTATAAATTGTACTAGCAACTGTATATATTCGCGATTTTATTAGTTCATAGGAGTTTCCGAGTAAAATTAAATTTATAATTAAGTGGATATTTGAAATATATCTACGATTGAAGTTCCTGACTAAAATATATTCGTGTTCATAGTACCTATTAGTAATTTATTTTTCGCTAGAAATACCAATAAATAGTTGTGCAAATAAAGTCTATTTATCTACAATAAAACGTTGCTTTATTAACATAGCTTGAAATTCCCCAAACAAAAAAATTAAGTCTAAATATAGCAGATAAATATAATTTCCAACAGCGCTTCGACTAAAATCTAGTTCAAGGTAAAGCTTTAGGTAAGTATTTTTAGCGCACCCGCAGCGTCTCGAATTGGGATGGGTAATTTACAAGATGTTATGACAACTACCACCCTGTTACTAAAAGGATTATGACTGATAGTGCTGACTTAACAAATTTTCATAAAAGGGCCATTTGGCAAGGTTATCGTAAAATTTTCGAAAAAGCAATAAAGCAATTGTAGTTATTTATAAAGAAGGAACGCCTCCAATACAAACAGAAGACATTTATTAGCTACGTGATACAGGTCGGTCGTCGCATCGATTGAATTTTGAAAAGTAAGGAAAGTATTTTTGTTTTTGTTCAATTTCGTGTTTAAGTTTGTCATTGCATTCGCCACATTAATTGAATATAAAGTTTTAAACGTCAGTGTCTACTAAATAACTAAATTGGGTTGTATAAAATGTATACCTGTGTATTTATACATAAAAATGAGAAAAGGCGCACCTTAAGTGGCAAACAAACTACATTTTTCAGGTTAAATATTAAATAATAAAATAATTATAGTGCTATTAACCTCAATTCTTTAATTTATATATACAAAGTGATTCAAAAAGCAGAATAGTAGAAAGGATAATTTTTCAAAATCTCATAATATATTAAGAGAGATCACTAAAAGCAGGAATCACTAAAAATAGGAAAATATTAAATTCAAATTAACAAATCGCCCTGTATCTTTAAAACCAAGCGAAATTTAACAACACTGCAAATAAATCTTTAAAGCACTTCCTGCTCTGAATATAGTATGCGCGATATGTAATTAGTTAAATTTGGATACACAGAACAATAGCAAGGTACGTCACAGCAAGCAAGTACTTACATATAGAAAATGAACAAAATTCGATAGTTTTCAGCACCATGTCGCAGGTCGTCCATCGTGATGACTAAATACCTAACCCCTATTTGAAAACGGTCCATTCTTTGCCATCCCTTGTGCTCCCTTACCGGCCGTTTACAAACAGCTGTGTCGCGAATTCAAAAGTTTGCACGCCTGCGCTCAACTGACTTTCAATATGGCCGCAATGTGAAAGTTTTTATTTGGTTTGGGGTAGTTTTAAGCTGCTCATGTTTTTAATTTTTAAGGAACGTAGCTGCTTCTTGCGAGTTTTGATGGAGGTTGTGTTCGGACCTTATTGGTTCGTAGTTGTAGTGGAAAAAAGTTGTTTGTGGATTATTCTGTGAAGTGTATTGTGGTGGGATCAGCTTTTTAAGAGTCAAGTACTATTTATCGAATAACGGTAAATTAAATTACTTATAAGAAAAAAAGAGAACTTGTTATGGGGTAATATATCTATTAAAAGTGTGTACAAGGTGATACAAAATATACTTATCCCTTACAATTTCCAAAGCTATTCTCCAAATGTTGATTTGATATGTTCAGTATATTACTACATTATTAAAATATTACTCTTTCTCTTGGTCTTGCTCTTCCGGTTTAACAACATTGTCAGCATTTCATACATCATATTAACGAAAATTTGGCGTAGATTTAGAATACCGAAACAAGTTTCTCTTTTTGAATTTATAACGCTGCTTATGATATTAAAAAATTAAATGAACATGCTTAAATCTGTAGAAAATAGTGCAGTAACTACATCTTGTATCGGATACGTGTTTATAATGTCTGTACCTTGGGTATCATAAAAATATACCTTTAAAATATATTTTATTTTTAAAAATATATGAAATATTTTATAAAATGATTTTCAGGATATACAGATATGCATATTTTCGGGCCATAATTACAAATTAATCAATTTTGAAACCACCGTTCAAAAATGGTCTAGGATATTGAAAAATTCGTCGAGTCCTGTTTTTCATGACTTCGCTCAACTGTCGCTGAGTAATTGATTATCTTCTTCGTGGGATAAAGCTGTTGAAAACTAGGAATGGCATGGATTTGAGGTTATGCTTGATCAGTTATTTGTAAAAGTACTTCTCTCTGTATGTCATGTAACAATCAAAAATTTCAAGTGTAATGTAATATTGCTTGAATGTTTACGTTTGAAAAATATAACTCAATAATAAAATGTAATTTAAAATAAGTGGAAAAATAACCAATTAAAGAAACAAACTATACGGTTGAGTATGGTTGAGTATTTGATCTTTTTAAAATTGTTATTAAAAATCATAGTGAATAATTTTCTTTAATAACTGTTTTGCACAAAGTTTTCCTCTGAATATTGTCCATGAAAAGCCGTCGATCAATCCGCCGATAATTAGTAGGATAATAGTCCAATTTTGAAGAGACTTTTTTGACTGGGGCACTAAAATAGATTGCTATCTATATAATATAATATATAATCCAATAACAAAAAGTAATTTCAAATAAGTGAAAAAATAACCAATTTAATAAAAATAAATATACGGTTGAATATTGTTGAGTACTTGATGTTTACAGAATTGTTATTAAAGCCAGCTCATGGTTAGTAATTTTTTTACTAACTGTTTTGCACAAACTTTTCCTCTGAATACTGTCCATGAGAAATCGTCGATTAAGCCGCCGATAATCAGTAGAATAATAGTTCAATTTCGAAGGGAAAAGGAGGGGTACTTTCACCCCCATGGGTTTGGTAAATCGACATAGACCATCTTAATGATTGTTGTCAATATACTTGATTAATAGGTTACGGAAAATATTAGAAATGTGGTATTCTGCAGTGAATATGGTGGACATGCATTACAATGAATTAATTTCTCGATATAACGCAATTTTTCGGTTTCGCTCAAAAATCTAGACATGCAAAAATCAAATAATCGACCTGTTTAAAGGGCATAATAACTGTTTTGGAGATAAAATTCTGTAACCGAAATATCGATAATGGGAAATTCCTGCTCTCATAATGAATCACGTTTGTCCATCCTTGCACTATTAATCATTTTTGCGCTCTGGTCCATCTAATGTATCCGGTCGAATATTTAATGTATTTATACTCCTTGTGGTTTTACGCTGCACAGTTTTGGGATACAACTAACAGATGCTTAGTTAATGACTGTCGTGGGCAATGTTCGACATGGTGTCACTAATTTTGGAGCTTATTTATTATAATTTTTCCTTTATTTAGGATTAATACACAAATATATTTGCCATTTTCTTTCTACTGCTCTCCTAATAACTGTAAACATAGAATATTGATGTGCTAAATAGTGTCGTAGATCGCAGGGAGTTGGTAACTGGTAAAACATATGACATTTCATTCTCTTATTTCAGTAGTAATATTTCAATTCAAAAGTTTTTGGCTCTTGAAAAATTAATTATATTACGTCTGCACAGGTACCTTCTTCTGCATTTATTGGGCAGAAAACAATTTTTTAGCCAAACTTAAATAGCATATTATGCAATAAGTTTTATAAAGGACATTTAACTATGAGGTTGTTTGGCACGACCCCAGTGCAGTGGAGAGAATGTTTTGCCTAGTGTACTCTCACTACGACTGAAAATCGTGACTAAAGTACAGGAAACGCCCGAAGTGATTCGAGAAAAAGTTGCACGCCTGACCAGTGGGTATTTTAGATTTGGGAGTAAAAAAAATCTTTTATATATACCGAGAGTTTACTAAGTAAACATCCCATCGTTGATTATTAGTTGATTCTTTTACAGTTTTATACATTTTTTCACCAAATTTAGTACTTTTCAGCATTTTAATTTAGTAAATCAATTTATTTTTATAGAGCCATGATTTTTAACTTTTAAATAAATTATTATTACTACTCAAAAAAAAAAAAATTTGGTCCTCAATTAAATAAAATCGGGTACTAAGTTTGGTTGAGTTACTTAATAGGTTAGGATATTTTTGTGGCCATGAACAATTTGAAAAAAATAAAATAACAAATAATTGGGAATTTCGAATTGAATAATTTCATTTTCAGATTTTTTCCTACATTAAAACTCGACTCTGAAATATTCCTTATATCCATTGCAAATAAATATAGGAGAGATCGTCAGATATATTTGTTCTTTTTCATTTTTTTCCTACATATAATATTTGTAAATTATGTATTTTCTTATCCATTTTTTTTTTGCAGGTGACGCTGTCTCTATCCCTTTTGTTACGTCCGAGAAATGCAATTAAAGCAACCGTTGAGCAAATTAAACGTTATTTAGTTATAATTAAATTAATATATATTAAATAATCGGTTTCTTAAATAAATGGTTTCTGTACAACAGAATGCTGCTGTGAAGTTTTTCGACGTTTATTCCTGTATAAAGCGAAAAACATCAGGATGTGATTCCTTATTTAAAATAAAGAGTAGTTTGTTGTATAACCGTTGAGTTCAATGCCAATTTTTAGGGAGATATCATGATGCAAATATATTAGAAAAATAATGTCCAAACAATAAAATATTATAAGAGAGTTCTATTATAAAAACAGAGGAGGGGATTGAGTTAGACTGCTCCTCTCATTCTTCTTTGCTAAATTGAAGGAAAAACATGCACATGACATTTTTTTTTGCTTTATATTTTATTAGAAATTTCTGTCTCCTGCAATTTCTTCATAATACTTTCCCCATAACAAAAATTAAATCTA